TTTGAACGCGAACGACAGATTGGTGAACGTGAAAAATATGCTTATAATATGCGTATTAGAAGTAATATTTTTCCATTAAAAGGCACACCGAAAAATCTTAGAAGTACGGTCATGCATGCGCGAACTGAATCAAGTGCTGTTGCAGATGTGACAAAACAAAAGTATGGAAATTGTATCTTTTTATCGTCTTTTTTAATATCGAATTAATTAAAATAAATGCTAATAATCTCTTAAGTAAATATTCACTTAAATGCTCCTTATTTTTAAGTGATTTTGGATTAAATCTTTTTTTTAAAGAAACGCTGATTGAAACAAAGTAGGTCTTTATTGGTTCGGCAAATCGTAGTCAAAATTGGTAGTTTTTTCAAATTTAATTTTTATCGAAACTTTCTTAAATTTTAGCATTAATGCTTCTTGTTCAATCCAAGGCTTATCGCATGAGGAACAAAACGAAATTTCTTCATCGGAAGATGAATATCGCTCCCACATTTCATCAGCAAGATGTTCTGCTAGTAGTATAACGTAAGTTCATTGTTACTTTGTCTGGCTGATATCCTAAGATGCGCATTACTTTCATATTTAAAATACTAAAATCATAAAATTTGTAAAGATATTTTCATTAATTGAAATAAATAATTGAATAAATTTCTGTGAACTGTTGTTAAAATTTTGCATACATTCTTCATAGAGAAATATTTTTTAGGAATTTTCTCCTAAATATTTTAAAAATTTTTCGAAATAATCATTTAGGACAAGTGGAGCTTTTCCATCATCTCAGTCATTGACATTTAGTCGACAAAGTTCTGGTCGGAATTCATCAGGATACGATCGAAAATCAAATAAAACTTCACCTAGGCGAATGCTAACTTCAAGTTCAGGTACAAATCGAAAAATTTAAAATATATGTCTTGTTTTAATTTTAAATTAAATTTCCCAAGAAAATACAATACAATCCGCACTGCTGCCACTACACCATGCGAAAATAACAATTATTGGATTATTCAGTTGAACGGATAGAAACTTCATCTTGTGAGAGATATTGGAAAACTGAATTGCAGAGCGTAATTTCTCACGGGATTCATCGACCCGATTATCCAATTATTTTCGGAACAATCAACCTGAACTTGCTCGTGGATCTTCCGCTCGAAATTCTGGTGTTTCCGAAGCTTCTTGTGACTCCGGTTTCCATAATTTATATGACATTGACCTTGCATCTGGAACTTCAATAAACGCATTGCTGTATGAATGTGGTTTTTGTGGGCAACCGGTAGGTACTTGGAAATTATTGGTTAGCTAAAAATTTACGACACTTAAAATACGATTGAAAAACAATGAAGTGATCATGCTAATTTTAATTGTGATATATTTTTAATTCTACATATTTTCTGGCGTTTTTTCTCAACAGGAATCAAGCAAAGGATTATTGCTTCAAGCACTTTGCTTCAGGTCATTCCAACGAATTTTTATCGAAACAAGGAGGGACGTTGGTCAGATGGGCATTTGACATCGCGCAGAAGGAAAAATAGGAAAGGTACAAGTTCACATCGCGATTCACTGCAACGGATGACCCCTGGTAAGCAGTTCATAGGCCATTAAAGAATAAAATGGAAAATCTTCAAAGGATTCTGGGTGACATTCATAGACTACAAGATTTTTCGTTTTACTGGGTTTTTTTTTTTTTTTTTTAAAAACTGATTGGTCAAATAAAAGCTGTGATAATTGGAAGTAATTTGTTTTATGGAAAAGATTAGATTAGCTTTCAAATTTAAACAACTGAACCAATTGATATACTTTCTAATTCTTACTTTCAAAAATTTCTTCCATCATTTCCAGTATCTACAAAAGACAAACGTTCTTCACATACACGATCACGTCAATCATTGGCAGAATTCACTTTGGCCAATGATAGAGCAACAAAAAAGACTTCATCATGTGAAATAACTGATAATACATCTGTTAATTTACAAAATAAAATTGCCAAGTACGAGATTATATCTTGTCAAAAAAAAACGATCTCTCAAAACAAACTTTTTTCATTTTAAGTACTTTAGCAGTGCTGTAGGAATTTGCTATAGAGAATGAGATACAGACTTTGAAAGAACATGATTTTTAAATAACTTTTACTTGAAATGGAAATTTGAGATTAGCAAAAAATGATCGGAATATAGACACACTTAGATTTTTTTAAATTTAAACTTCTATTTCTCATATTGTCTTTTTTCCAGTTGCTCGAGTATAAAAAAATCACAGGAAGCGAAAACAGTTGTGGTTGAAGAATGCAGTATGACCGTACGTTTAACTATAAACTTTGTTACGATAAATCTGAAGAAAAGCGCATTTATCTTCTTAATCTTATCTCCAGATTCCACCATCAACAACTTATCAGGAGATCGTAAAAGAGGAACATTTACTGATATCATCAAATGATCAGAAGGCTGCATGTGATAAGGAAAAGACAAGTGAAAGGAATAATAAGCTGACAAAAGAAGCTTTTGATGCTTCCGCAGAAGAAAGTTCTGAAGAACGAGATGAAAATAACGGGTAAAAGTGTCAAATTCTTTGTTAGAATATAAATTATTCATGAAAAATGAATATACATTGTACTTCTTTACTTTTAGGAATATTTTGGGTTCATCGCTCGATTCTTCAAGTGCCTCTTATGTAATTTTTCATAGATTTAAAAATGCACAGAGCACAAATGATAGCGAAAGGTTAGCTATCTATTTTTCAAAAAAATTTTCGAAATCACTGAAAATTTTGCAATATCAAATTGACTAAGTGAAATAGCTTAACAATCTAAGTGAAATAGCTTTTGAATATTTTTTATGAAGTATCTGGTACAAACATTCATTGAATAAGTAAGTTTAATTAAATAATTTCAACGAATTTACAAACATCACACACAAGAAATTTTATTAAAATGAACAGCTGAGTCCGAAATTTATACTTTTCTACTTGTTCACTCTTAATCAGATCCGAAAAATGATAATGAATAGTTGGATGATGAAACAAATGCTAATAAAAATGGACAATTGGATATACATATCAATCTGTTCTTAGCATTACTTTTAATCAGTTTCAAATAATTATGTGTGCAATGATAAATTAGTCATTTAATTCAGGTCAAGTTGTCTATTGATAACTTCCTCCTCAACAATGGAATCATCATTGGAACGAAGTTTAGAAATGGCTGCCATACATTCCGATGGTCTTTCTGACAAAGAACGACAAGTTCGCGCTGTCAAAAATACAATTCGAACACATCGTAGGACAGCAAGTGTAAGTTCAATTTTATTAATAGAGACATTCGTAACTCAGATTAACTTCCTCTCTTTTATAAACAGTCAGACATTTTGAGTAAAGCTAAAATGTCACTCCTCATTTTTACTAGCATTATCTGATCGGGATAATTTGTAGGGAATTTATTAACTTGAAAGGAGAGATTGGATTTTTCCAAATATTTTTGGTGAATTTAATTTTCAACTTTCTTAAATAAACACTATTCATTCATATTAAGTTGCTTATCTATCTAGATTATTGATCGGTATTTTAATGTCGGTCAATTATTAATGATTTCAATTAGATGAATCAAGATCTCTTTTCGATTAGATATGTTTTGCTCTTTGTATTTTTCTCACAATGTGAGGTGTTCAGATTCCATTTCGTGGGCGACTACTTTACACATGGTTTTTAAACACAAATCTGAACCAATAAATTTTCTAAATAATATTTCCAAAAGCCTCTTTCCAGACACCGTTATCAATACCATCTGCAGTTTGTGAAACAAGTTCAGAAAGCGATGCAGAAGAGGTCGTATACTGTTAGGTGAGAAAGAAAATGTAATGCAACTGTTTATATATTATTACCTTGTTCAGGCAAGATTTGTGATCCTCTTTGTGCTTCCCTCCTCATTCTTAATATTTTCAACGAATGGTGCTTATGTGATATTGTTTTAATAACCGTACTGTATACTAATTTCAAAGAAATCAATGAAATTCAAACATTTCGATCAGTTTGTTATTATTCATTAAGTGAAATAGTTCAACAGTTAATGCCATAAGCTTATTTGGAAATGTGAACCTGCATAACAACTTTATTATCAAATTACATATCTCATTAAATGACCATAACTTAAGTAGAAGTAAAAATGGAACAGTTTCATATCAATTCTCTGCATTCTTCCATGTCTATTCTTGAACCTACAACTTCGTATGCAATGTTGTGGTGAAACTGTATCATTCATAGTGATCAAAAAACCCAGGAAGCACGGAGGAAGCATAACAAATTAATCATACATATATCACATATCAAACCTTATGCATAGGAATTTCAGCCTAACTGGAAAGGCTTCATATTGCAAAAAGGTGCGATATATTTCTCTTCCTTCTCATGTTTCAACCAGTTTTCAGTACTACCGATACTATAATAAGAAATCTCTTTTGTGACAAAAAAAGAAAAAAAATGATATAGGCCGCTAAAGCAATAAAAACATTTGATCATAATAAAAACAAGCCTATTAATATACGCAAGTAGTATAAGAATAAATCAACTATAAAAATAACTTTTTTCACCAAAGCAATTTATTTTTTTAGCATCAACACTGAAAACAGTAGAAATATTTCTAAATTTTCCAAGTTCTGCAAAATCAAATCTGAAAAGTCGAAACATAATGCTGAACATCAGAAAGATCATATATTCTCGTTCAATTATGAACACTGGTGGTTTATTCAATATTTGGAGCAACTGACAGCAAGATATTCAAGGTGTGATAGCAGGATATTCAAAAAGATACTTTCAAAGTTTTATTCATTTTATTCCACTCAATCGTGATCGAATAAACTGAAACGGAAGTAAAATAACAAAATAATTCGTAAACTTCTGTAGTAAAAAGCATTTTAACAGGCTAATTAAAATTTAGAATAAGCTCTTACAAGTGAAGCTTCCAGAATTATTCAAAGATAAGCATCACCTGCTACACTCCCTCGCACTTTGCTCTTCGCATTTTTACTGTTAATATGAAAAATCACAAATGCAAGACAAAATTCAAAAATATTAAGATGAAAAGAGAGCCGGAGAGTTATGATAAATAGAAGAACAACACAGGACCATCATTTACTGTTAAAATTTCAGACATGCAAATGTCACTGATTTATTTTTTACTCTCCCCTGCTTTATTAGTCCTGGAAGTATCTGTAGCCGATCCTGTTAGCTCTTCTTCTTCATCCTTTTTCTTTGCTCGACTTCTTCGGCCTTCACTTCCACTAACTATAAATAATTAACTATTAATATATAATTTAATAACATAGTAAAACAACGCCAAAAATAATACGGGAAGAAGAAAAAATAGTAACCTGTTTTCACTTATCATTCTTCCATTACAATTCCTGGATTAACTCATTCAAGAATAACCATTCTTTTAATTTTAAATAAAAATTATAAAGGTAACGCAATCACGAGTATTTTTCCAAAATGTCCACCTTTTCAATCTTCCAAGGACATTTGTTAAGTCAAAATACAACAGTGAATGCCGAGATAAAGTGTAATTTTAAATCATTTTAACTAAGTGTCATCCCAAACCTTTTTTTGTTAAATGCATTTTCAAATTTTGTTGTTGTCAATATACATATTCTAAATTCAAACATCAATACCAGAAGTATTCGAATTATATAAAGCAATAAAAGTCGAAGTTATTAAAACGTCTTAGATCTGAAAGTGAATTGATATCCAATACAAATTATCGACCAATAAACTCAAAAAAAATGAAATAAAAGCGGAAATAAGCAGATATTATCTGGAATTATCTGGAAAAGTTATTCACCAGATTCAGATGGACTTCCCATGCTTATATCTTTTACAACTGCTGAAAATGTTTCATCGTCCATAACGATTACATCATTTTCACTTAACTGCTTTCTTACAAATCTGAAATTAATGAAATTTCAATTTATCTATCAAAAGAAAAGAAACTTCGTAAAAGGCTACTACCGAGAGCTCATTTCTTTCCAAGAACATATAAATACAAACTTTTTTGGATTAGTCTCTACTTCATGAGTGGCCACCTGTTTGCTAGATTCCGCTTCTTCCGAATTTTTTTCATTCTCTATATCTTTTCCTTTTCCTCTTTCTGATAAACTTGAGTTACCGCTTTTTTCATCTGGAATAAAGAAACATTAAAATAAATTACGTTTTTGGACACCACGTGTTACTTTTAATTTGCAACAGTTTATAATATTTTCATAATGAGAAAGACCTGTAAAAGATAAGTTTGAACGATTACCACGTCGATCTTTATCTTTCTTTAAATATTTTGAATAAACTGAACGTCTTTCAGAAGATCTTGTTGTCCTTTGTGATTTCGTCTCCTTTCCTTCTTCTTCTTCGCATTCTTTTATTTGTTCTGGTTTTGGCGTTTTTTTGCCAAATGTTGCGTTTCGAGTACTTCTAGATCTCGTTTCCCTTTGAGTTTCTTCAGCAACAGGAGTTTTCGATTCTAAAAAATAGTACTTCGTAAAGAATGGCTGAATAGTAGAACCTTTAAAAACCCGAGATATAAAAAAATTATTGAATTCTATCTATAGAGATAAGAAATTTAAGATCGTATGAGCATATATTTAAGAGTAAAAGGGATAATACTTCTAATCAGTCATTAATGGACCTATCACTTGAGAGTAGTTTATTCGATCTTCCGACTAAAGATAACTCTCCCAACAGTTGCAGTACGCTTTGCTGATACAGAAATTAATTAAATCATAAAAATTACTGAATCCTCAATGATTTAGCATCATTGGTACATCTATCTTAGAGATTCCTTTCAACTAAGTAAAAAACCTGGCAAAAGAGAAATATTACCTTTCTGCATTAGTGGTCGAGGTGAAACCATAATTAAACGGCCATCAAATCGTCGCATAACTGTGACCTAAATACTATATGTAAAGACCATTTGCTTAACTTGTTCACTGTTTATTTGTATTTGGCAAGTTAAACAGAAAGCTTTTAATATTCCCGAAATTCAACATATTATATGAACATTGCTTGAGGTTTAAAAGCATTGGAAGCTGTTCCAAAATTAACAAAATGATGGTATGATGGAAATGCGACGTGAACAATAAAACAAACAAAACTGATGATTAGAAAAAAATTTTTATATGAAATAATGGGGTCTATTCAAAAATAAATTTTGCGAAAAGCAAATTGCACTGTATGTTTAACGAATGAATCCAGCGTATAAACTAGAAACAGTTAAAGACCTATTTATGACTAAACTTTTGTGCCTCAGGAAGTGTACTGATCAATATACCACCAGTCCTTTCAAAGGGTTTCCTCTAATATTTTTCGGAAGTGATTCAGCGGCTAACAAATCAGCTAACCAAATTTCCAGTTGCAGTTCTTAAAGTCATCGGCTTCCCTGTCAGTTCATCCGGATCGGCACCAAGCTGCATGGTACGTCCAGCCAGTTTCAACTTCGAATTCTGTCCGCTGAATGGTATTCGTCCTCAAAAATATTTAGAAAATTGATGTAAAAAAATTATGTTTCCGTTTCTGTTTCGTATTGAATCCATTTTGAATTTTTTGTCAAAAGGAATCGTTCAAAGACTTATTTGTTATCCTAAAAGAAAATCAAAGAAAGAAAATCAGAAAGAAAAAACTAAAGTAGTAAAAAGCTGCACTTCTAAGCGAATAGAATATTTAATTCTACTACAACATGAAAGTCATTTAATTGACAAAATTGCCGACATTAAATGAGAATCATTTCCCCAGCGCCATCACAGGAGTCTGAAAACAATCGGATCGTTCTGTATAGGATACTCTATCAGATTAGTGAATCGTAAAACCCATTTTATATACCGATTTTCAATGATTATTTTTATAAATTTAAACAACTTACTCAGTGTGTAAGAACCTCGAGATTCTGAAGATTTCGTTGATGCTACAAGAAAGTAATGATTACAAAATACAGAAGTGTGATAATGATTTTAAAAATAATGAACAGAAAATGAATTCACCCAAATAAAACTTGAATACTTACCATCTCCTTCCGCTGAAGTTGCCTGAAAATTTTACGAGTTTTACAGAATAATCATTGGTTAATAATATATGAATGTTCCTTCTTTAACTCTTCACAACAAAAGTCAATTTCATATATTTTTATCCTTCATCCGTTAAATTCTTAACTTTCATAACTGTGGTCACGCTTGCTCATAATAAGAAACTAATTCTTTCTATAATGTCTGGCAAAGCCAAATAATATGTTAGCCAATGCTTTGGCTTTGCATATGTTAATTCTATAGCATTTCTATAATTGTAAAGTCTTGAGATAAAAAGTTATGCATCTGAGAACTATTTCTTTTTGGAGTACCATAAACTGCTTCGCAGTCTTTCCAAAAAGCAATTAAAGAAACCTCTGTCTCTCCAACATATGTCGTTTTGTCAAAAACTCCCTTTGTGTTCGGCTTTACGACCCCGCGACTTCTTCTTGTTTGATATGGCTCTCTAAACAAATGTTTCATTAAACAATTTTCAGAAATAGTTTTCCTCAGAATTGTTTCAAAACAGTATCCTATACTTTCGTTGTATCATCAGCATATAGTTGCTACACAACAGCTGTAATGAATAATTGGATTGTTTTGATAATATCTGGAACCATAAATTCCATTTCCACTCTATTTTGAATTTAATAAGGCGGAAAAATACTTTAATGGAAAAGAAAGCAGAAACAAATATACCTTAAATAAAAATGACCTATTTAAATTTCAATAAATAATGAAAGATCTATTTCAAATCTCTACAATCATTTAACACTTCAAATAATTTTATTCAAGAGTTATTTATTTAGGTCAGCTTGACGTCTACTTGCTCACTTCTATGGAGTTCAAAACATACCCATTTCTGGATTTCGTTTTATTCTAAAATAAAATATAGAAATAGGTACGTTTTGAAGTAGGAACTTATTTTATCCATCCGATTAACAAATCAATATGTACTTTCCCTGAGTTTTATTCAAAATCTTGTAATCGATATCATAAATTAAACAGAACTGTTGTATAAACACAATGAGCTATAGCATTATGGAGAAAACTAAAGCAGCATTATGAAATCGAGTGCCACATATACTTTAACTTACAAATCTCTAATTTATAGAAAGAAAAAAAATACTATTAAGAAAATGAGTGCTTAAATCTTTTGTAAGCTATTACCTCATGGATGTTTCTGCTTTTGGAACTACAATGACGGGAGTTTTTCTTCCTTTCTTTGCTTCGAAAGGTGTGTCAACCTCCTCTTTCCCTTTTCCACGTTTTGATCTTCTCAAATTTGGTTGTGTATCCTGAAAACTTTTTTTAAAAAATTTGGAATCCACTCAAAGTATTATTTGTACAACTCTAATCCGAAATTCAAGGAAACAGGAAAACTACCACTGTTTCGGATTGGTCTGCAACATCCATTTCTGCTTCCTCATCAATTGTCATTTTTTCTGAAAATTAAGTAAAAATTCATGTGCGTTCATAATAAGGAATAAAATAATCATCCACAACAGTCCTATTTTCTTTATATTTCGCGTCATGCTAAATGATTTACTGTTGGATGCAAAAAAATGCTTCTAAAAAACAAATACGTTACGAAATGCAAGAAAAGAACATAAAACTATAAACTGCACATTTTCCATCAAATGATGACTGACCTATTTTGTAAACTAAAAACAGCTAAAAAAAGAAAAAAATGATTTGTAGAAAAAAATATGTATGTCAGGCATTGCAAAAAAAAGTCAAAATATCGCAAAAAAAATTTTGAAAAAGATTTAAGATAATTCCAACCTAATTCCGGTGTGCTTCTTGCGGGTACAACTGGAAGGAAGATAAGCGGCTGCGTTTCTGATTCACTTTTTCCATCACGCTGCACTGAACTGCTACCTTCATCACCGTTTCCAAAACTCAATGTTGGAAGCAAGCTCGTCTGCTTGGTAACTACTATTCCATTATTTACAATTTCTTTTAAATCAAAAATTTCAGCTGCCAATTCCTCCACAGATTTATTGCAGTCTGGATCAGTAGCAATGTTGTCGCAGAGTGATGTGAGATATTTCAAATATTTTTTCGCTGCCACAATATGTTTCAAAGACTGAGCTCGTTCTTTGAAAAGCTGCAAACACATAGGGACTTCATTAACAAGGTGAAAAGTTTTATTAGTACTTTCTGGCATTCAGAATGCTTTATCTGATAACACTGATGCTGCTGCACTTCAAATAATGTCTAATATCTCAAAAGACATTCAAATTTCTATTATGGGTAGTGAGTACTAAATTGTAATATCATTTCGGAAATTTCTAAAATAAGGCTGGATTTAACCTAAAAACACTCAACACAATACAAACCTCGCACTGTAATTCAATTTGCATAACCAAGTTATAAAGTGTATAGCTGGAAAAATTTGATCGATGAGTAACATAATGTGGTTGACCCGAGCCACTGCCACTTTGAATTTCTCTGCTTTCGATGGAACGTACTGAACGGCTTTCACTGACACGACGATTGCACTGTTCGACCAAATCTGCTACCTAAAAAAACTTTACTCCACAGTTTCTTAAAATCAGTAATAACCATCAAACAAATCATTTTGTACAACAAACTGTTGTACTATGTTCAATTTACTATGACACAATCAGATAACAATATAATTAGTAACGCCACAAAAAATTTGAATTGGAATTATACAGAACCCCGTTGCATCATCACCCCACAGCAAACCTTCTCTCAATACTGCCATACTCTGTAACTTAAACTACTACTTACGCTTCTACTGCACTCTAAAACTCGATATTATAATTATGAAAAGTCATTAAAAATAAGATCGCACTTTCATCAATGGATTCGTCATTCATAAGATTAAAAGATTGAAGGAATTTTTTAATCTTATGAATGAAATTTCTGCGAAACCAATAAAAGTTATTTAAACCCAACTACCTCTCGTTTCTCATCGTAATCTGATTTGACAGTTCTGCCATATGCGAATTGCTGACCAACATTTTGTTGTGCATATCGGAAAAAAGTATTTTTATTTCCGGTATTGAATAGAGACACAATACTAGTACAAAAATTATCTATGCAATGCTTGCATAACGCATCTAAAACAAGTATTCCTCCCCTTCCGCTTTTCCAATTATGTTATTATAATAATGTTCGTTTCCACAATAAAAATTTTTTATTTAATTTACCTTCCTATAAACCTTGGTCTTTGTAAGTTTATTCGTTTCAGTTTTGATGCTGCATTTTCTCCTACTTGTTCTTCTTGTCCAACACCTTCCTCGCTACCCTCGATATCATAATCAACATTTCGTTCGCCTCCGTCAACAACTGCATCTCCTTGTCCTGAAAAGTAAGAAATGAAAAAAATTTTGAAATAATTCTTCTTGATTCAAATTAAACTATTGGTTATCAAAAACTGAGAATTTGCCTTCTTACTGCAAGCGCCTATCAGTTAACGAATGGATTTCGCATCTTTCTCCTTTCACTATCCTTATAAAATGTTGATTATCGAGGAGAGTGAGGAGGATGTTGGACAAGAACAAGTAAGTTGCATATGAATGCACCACAGGCAACCTTTTCCTAAAAAAAAACATTGAGAAAATAACGCTAACCGTCATGCCCAGTATCCGGTCCTTCAGCAAATTCGACAACTGATGTCGGATCATTATTTCGTACATGAGGTGGGCGTTTGGCGACATCAGATGCATACGTGTCTAACTCTCTGAAAATACAATAAATTTCTGATTTTTTCAGCAAAAAAAATGTGAGAAAAAGATAAATAAACGTCGCAGATAAACAAATGAAATTACACTTACTGCAGATTTGGGTCATCTTCTCTGATTCCTTCTTCAGACCACACACCGCCATTCTCTAAAATCGACTTCAGTTTACTGTGAGTGATCAAAATAAACGAATTTTATTTTACTACAGTGATTCAAAATATCTTTCACTGTTACCAAAACTCATTATCGTAAAAGGCAATTTCAGAAAATCGAGAGATGTAGCACTGAACATAGTACTGTAAACTACCGTTCATTAAAAAGCAGATGTCATCATTAAAGACAGTTTGCTTTTTAGGGTCAACTTATAGCATTTTTTTCAAAAGCAACTTCCGTTATACAATCTGTTTACGATCATTACAGTGTTTAAATAAATTAAAATAACATTCATCAATTATGAACGTCATATGAATGACATTCATAATTGAGTAATTGATGAGTGTCATTTTTAGTGAACTATATAGTAAACGACGCAACTGTAATTGAACCATTTTGATTTTTGCTATCACAAACTATTTGATAAAAGTAAATTGGTGGTCCGATCTAGTGACTGCTGTTAGTCCAAAATTCATCCATTATGAACGTCATTTGAATAACATTCATAATTGATGAGTGTCATTTCTAGTGAATCAATTATAGTAAACGACGCAACTGTAGTTGGCCCAAAAAATTTTTTACTACGGGAGATTTTTTTTTTACTGCAGAATTTATTTTTTACTATTACAGCTTCCGTAGTTATATTCAAATAATATTTGTAAGTAAGAATTTCCATAGATTGAGTTTGTGGCAGAGATTAAGGCTGATTTTTAATATATTATCAATTGATAGCCAATCTATTTAAACCAATAAAAATGAAATAAACATCCCATGATTAAAGCTAACCTGACATGATTTCACTTCCTATTTCACCTCTTCGCCTCAAAAGTCGCGCGCGTTGTGCATGACTTTTTACCATTCCAGCAGTTCGTAAACGTCTCTCCTCCACTTCGTGCATGAAAATTTCGGGAGTAAATGGAGCATCAATTGTTGCATCCTCATCTGTAAAAGCTTGGCTTAGTTTGCGCTTACTATATACGCCACCGGAATTATTATTCAACATCTGTTTTCTTGAAAATTACACAGCAGCGAAAATCACTTACCGCTATGGAAATTATGATCCAGACAATACTGTATTCGCAAAATCCGAGTTTCTTGCCGCGAAACTCTCTGAAAAAAGTTATCATTTATTTATTTTTCCTCTTATCTACTCATTGATTTATAGTTTATTGTAAAGATAAGTGGAAAGTTAGCAAGAATGATAATGATGCATCATAAAACACTCTGTTTCTAGCTGAAACACCTTCCAAAATCTGAATACCAACTCATCTTACTTAGCTATTCCCAAGAACTTTTGATGTAAATGTTTGACATCTTGTTTTTATATTGATAGCTATCTCGCTAGGTGATCTACGTCTTGCTAAAGTTGCAACAAAGTATTTCAGCAGTACAATTATTGTGACTCTGGTTTCAATTTTTAACCCCTATCCTCTACCTCGATGCAGTATAAAGTCATGTTCTCAACCCTGTATTATCCTTCCAGTCCTTATCAAGTGCACGTACTCGATAATCGTAGACTCGAACAAATGCAGTACAATGAAGACCATCAGAATTAACGCCATAAGTTCGACACCAGCGGTCGTCTGCAGCACAGAGGAAAAATAAGCTTTCATTGTGCATTGAAAAACGCCGAATTTTGTACCGGCTGCGCTGCTGCAGTTCACGCATCCATTGCTGCAGTTTGATAACTTTATTACCAGTAAACCCAATAATTTATAAGATTCTTACTTTTGTACGTTCACTAATCTTCCATCCAAAACAACTGCTAGAAATTTGATCTCTAACCCTAGAATAAGATCTTTTTGAAGCATTTTACAATTCCTTTCCGATTACTTCAACATTTTTCCCCTTTTGCCAATTCAAGCTAAATTGAAATCTTTTTTATCGATATCTACTTTTTTTACTCTGGGTTTAATAACGGATTAATAAAGACCTCAAAAAGATGTACTCCCGGAAACGAATAATACTGGCACGTCGCTTCTCGTTGATGATCTTGTGCCACATGATCCACAAAGTTCTCCTGCGATGTGGTGTCTGCATCAGTTACAACTGATATACCACACTCGATACACACCGACTAAATATGCGATAGAAAGTTAGCATACTATCTGCTTTTATTTCTGGAAACTACTATTTACATACAAATAGAACTTGAAATTTGGTAACCAATAAGAGGAATAAAAATTAACTGTTGAGAATTTTCTAGCCGTGCTTTAACACTATAAGCCAACAATTTTTCTGTATGCAGATATATAGACTGGATTTTTTTGGTAAATAGGTAACGATGAAAAGATGAAAATGCAAAGATAAAAACAAACCGGTGGGAATGGACGCATTCTTCGAAGCATTGCAGGGGCGCAGTCTGGATCTAATAAATTGCAATAAAATGTTCAAATCATTACAGAATATAATCCGAAAACTTCAACATATAGAACTAAATTAAAGCTTTCACGAATCTCACTCCTATTACTTAACGTTATTTACGCTATACTAACTATATGTAGTTATCACAGGAATTAAGTAATCTCGATAATGACAGAAATTATAAGAAAAAGCGTTACCTTTGGAATGCAAACCACGACGCCGCTCTGCCATTATCTTTTCATATTCAAATCGCCGACGATACACCTTCAAAGAATTTTAAATTACAGTCACAGAATCCGTTGCTTACATTCACTGAGGTAAGACATTTGCAAATCACTAATGCTTTAACTATTCCAATTGAACTGCGAATAAAATGGGAAATGTGAAGAAATTGTATTCGAAAAAATATATCTTTCTTCTGAGGCAACTACGTACCTGGATACGGAGAGAATCGAAAACTCAAGAAAAAGTCACCATACATGTGTCTACTAGTTAAGAAAAAAAATCCATAAGTCTGTGGAATGGCAATCATCTTTCAAAGTACTAATTAATAGGGTCATCAAAATTACTTAATTCTAAGACTGCTGTTCAAAACATGTATTTAAATCAAATAGAAAGAGAAAAAAGAACCATAAACAAAATATTTACAGTTTTATAACTAAAATTACCAGCCTAAAAATTCACATTTTTAACAATCATTTATTGAAAGTCACTAAACATCCGAAAGTGATCTAATAAATCATAAGAGCAATTTAATGGTTCACTGAAATAATGACAGTTCTAACCTTATATTCTCGATGTTTCGTTAATCTTTTTACTAGCGTATCCAAAGGAGGAAATAAAGCCAAAACATCTGGATTTTCAGCCGCTAACTTCTCCACTAAAAAAGTAATGTGTTTTTGTTATAGAAATGTTATAATCCACTAGAGTAAAAGACTATATTTTTAAAAGCAATAAAAATTTGATTATTAAATATTTAAAAATGGTACCAAAATGACTATAGAGATCTTCTAGTGGGTCATCTGTAAATTCCGCCATCAAACGTAGGTCGTAAATAACAATGCGAAGACGTACCTAAATAAAGAAATTACAACATGAACTTCGATCCATTTAAAATGTAAGTACATGGAGAAAGCTTAGTTATGACGATTGATATGGTTTGCAATTTATAAAAACTTCATACTTGCAAATCATCCGGTTTACACGTAGTTAAATGCTGATGTCCAGAAGAACGTAGTTCAGTTAATCCAGGAGATGTCCGTAAAGCACCAGGACATCCTTCATTTACGCAACGCCATTTTGTATAACTAATTTCGCTCAACTGAAACAATGTTTATATTCAATTTCATGTTCCTTATAAAAAAGTTAAGACGAACTGTTTTTATGTCCAGATTTGAAACAAAAAAAACATTTTAATCAAGATCCTTAAAGACCATTAGAAGTTCTATTTTCCATTTGTTATTACAAAAAACATCATCAAATCTCATTTCACATTTCAACAAGAGATAATTATTGTTCCAAAATAATAGAAAAATTTTTTTCTGCTAGTCATTTCCACTACGTACCCAATGCAGGTCATCATCGAGATAAGCAGTCAATGAAAAGAAGAATCAACAAAGATTATCAAGAATATCACTTGTTCCTCCTTAATAATAAATGATGTGAAAGAAACTGTCACAGCCATCCTCAAATGAGTTAATGAATACTTCAAAATATGGTATGCAAAGCTAGTGAAACTAACATCAGATGCAGCAACATAAAGATGTCCATTCCAGGCTATTTGGGGACGACATCGCTTTGAAAAACATAAAATAATTCTTTCACCATTATCAAAAGTTATTGTCCGAGATACGAGATCTTCCAAATCCATTGTAAGACTTATCTAAAACATTGAATTTACTAAAAGTATTCGAACAAATTGATTTTTTCAAGAAATGTTTCTTTTCATTTATCGTCCATATAACCACATGAACTGCCACCTGAGAGCAAAAAATGTAAGATATGGTAGTTCGAAAGTATGAATACCACAAATCAGACCTCTCCAGTCACCGGATCTCTGATAATTTGATCAACTTCTCGGTCAGCAAACATATCTGAGTGATCTTCATCATCGCTATATAGACCTTCCTCATCATTTATGCATTCTTCCATATCGCCTACATCACTTCCCGGAGTTGGAGACATCGCTGGATGGCTTCCTTCCGTTTCGACAATTACTTCTTCGCTAACGCTCTGCAAAAGAATTCATATACCATTACTAAAACTAAGTCATAAGTTTAACATAAAATGGGTACATTCACAATGAAAAACTTCCAAAAGCTGATACAAAATATTTACCATATGTAGGCCGACGTCTTGGTGTACTGTATCACCTTGTTTTTCTTGCTCATGTATTCTTTCGTCATATTCTCCGTGTTGTTCACTGCTAGTGGTATCCCCAATCTGCATCAATGCTTCATCCAATTCATCAATGACCTGAAACTTTATACAATTTATGAGATTTATCAGACCAGTAATCATGAAGTGTTTTTTTAAAAAAAATTTCTAAACCAGTCAATCACTCTAGCATCATTTGAATTTTCTCCAGCCTGGTATTCAGGATAAAATATGCTTCGATTCAAGACATCGGAATTTCTGGACAAATCATTTTCAATAGATTTTGCAAAATTTAAGGAATAGGACTCTATGATCATTCTTCAAGTTAATAAAATATAATCTTTCTCATTGGGGGATATATTGACTTACATGAACAAACAGTATATCAATTAAAGTTATTGTCTAACAAAAGATTTATTTACCTGACCAGAATCCACAATTTCCACTTCGGCACTTTCGATCTCTTGTTGACTCTGTTCATAACTATTTCCCACATTAACAGGGTCGGTCATGCTGTCTCAAAATTATGTAGATTTGTTGCTCTGGAATTCCTTTTGTTCTTTAAAAAAATTTGGAAAGAACAAACATAAAATAAGGCAAGAGAAGACAGTGATAGGTGATATCTACTATTCTTCATCTAACTCTGCATTCTCTTTTGCGCATTCAGTATAAATTCTATAACAATTTTCCTCTTCTCATAAAATCTATAACTTGAGAACCAAACCTGAATTACGAATATCTGCGGAAGATAGCAGCAAGATTGTTTCTAATACCTATCCAACACCAAAATCAAATATGTTACTATCAATTATTATTTCTGTTCCTCCTCACAAACCTAACCGGTCAGCAATGTTCTTCATCATTAATTGTTGCTACGACATATTTCATGATATTCCAAACAAGCATACTATTTTCTTCAGATTCATTCAATGGTTTTTGCATTTTCAAATCTGCCTGCCCTCAAGTCGTAGATGTACTTTGCTTTTTATTTGTGATTTCATAACTTCGACTAAAGATAGTGTAGCATGATTAAATAAGTCTTTTGAATGATTAAGCATTTGTATATGCTATAAAAGATATCCTATTCCTACTTCATTTGTTAAGATTTCTCATGGTCAGTACGAGATACCAAAGTTTTCACAGTATCATGGCATTTCGAACGATGTCACCATACCCTCAATGATACCTGGTTTCCCAAACACAATGCATTGACAGTACCGCGGGATTGACCGCGATGACTCCGACGGTATTTCCTGTTTGACCACAACTACCCATATGACTCCACACGGGGAAAAAACCACCCCATACCAGCCCCCTCCTTCCCCCTTCCCCATCACAAACGCAGCGGAAACAGAGAAATCGATTACATTGTTCCTCAACACCAAGATAGGAATGTTGCATTTCGAGCCTAAAGCGCTTTAAGACCAATTCCAAATAATACAGCTATACAGTATAGTGTGTAGTCAGCGTCTGCATTCGTTGCTTCTTTGCTTGATCGTGCTGGGTATTATTCCCACAAATTAACCAATCTCGAGAAGCAAACAATATTCGTAGTAAAATAATGTAGGCGCATTTCTGTCATTATCACTGTTGCCATTATCACCACCAGAATGCTAAACTTACAATGAGTTAGCGACATCTAACTGCGAGCATCTCCATTTTGACTCCATTTCATTTTTATTACATTTGTGAAAAGTCACAATTCAACGAAATAAAAATCCTTATTGGGAACAGAGCTGAAGAATGAGTTATTGCATGATAGCAATATAATTCTTATCTGCCACATTATAAGACAGCTCTAAATCCGATATCAGTTCTATTTAGCACATTCTCAACCTACCATTTCTCATGATATCCTGTTCTTTCTGTAACAAGTAGCTATCATTAGGATACTGGCATGGGAAAAGAATACGCTTACGAGACGATGCCATATATACAAATACTAAATTACTGAAAAAATTCACGAGGATTTACGGGCCGCATTAATCGATAAGGAAGGGAAAACTCCGAGCCCATTTAATGAACTAGCTTATCATTCAAATTAAATTCCATTTCTCTATGCCGAAAAATTCGTCAAATGTGTTCAGGGAATACACGACGCACGCTGAATAAAACAGCAGATCAGTAGTTTTCAAAGTCTTGTGATGCACTTATTGCTAATTCCCAGAAACACTAGGAGAATCAAGAAATCCACACAGATGATAGATCAAGAAATCCACAATCACTGACTCGTAATAATTATTGTTCTTTCTAACAGCACAAGAAAATAAACATCAATGATAACTAATTAAGGTGGAATTACTTTTTCGAAAAGGTCGGTATAAGATACAAAAAACCGAAAAAAGATGGAGCTGAAGTACAAAACATCTCAAATTAGTAGTTAATTTTACAATACAAAAATTATTGAAATAAGCCAGTAGGATAGTAACATGGGCAGAGATAAAAAGTATTTGACTACAAAACAAGTTATAAGGAATTGTATACGCAGATTATCCCTCTATGATAGTTTCCTTTTTTGATATTGCTAAAATGTAATTCCTACACTTTCGTAAACTCAGTTCTCATTGGAATCTAATTTCTCGCATAAAAAAAGTCTGCTTATTCAAATATAAGGAACTGTCTTATTTAAGAAATTGGTAGGAAGTGTCATAGTAACCGGATAATCTTCGTAACAGGCGTTTTCTATTGTGGTGTTGATGATGGAACATTGCCCCACTGTGGCGATGGAGGAAATTGATTGTATGCTGCAAAAAATACTGAAATAAGGATAGGTTTCCATCTCTTGTTAGACATGGAAATCGTAAGCCTTAGTGAAAAATTTCTTTTAATAAAATATGAAGAGCCATCATCCAAAAAGTCTTTCACCAAAAACATAAGGTTTCGAATGGATGGCAAAAAATAAAATTAAAATTAGGTCCAACTCAATATTTCGTAATCGAAAATTCCCTCTGCAAATAAAGCACATAGCAGACTATAAGATTGCTTTTAACATTTCCTTTAGAAAACGAGAATTTAAAAATTGAGATTACCATGCAAAGGAGGATTGAAAGCTCCAGGATACGTTCCTGGATATGCAATTGGATATGGTGTTGTGTAATTTTGATTAAATTGCGGCTGCGGCATATAAGGTATCTGCTGAGGTGGATATCCATATGGTGCATGAGCTGAAATTAAATTGAGATCCTTGCAACAAATTGCTGCAATGTAACGAGTTGAATGTTTGTCGATGAGTTTGTAGATGAGAAAAATGAAGATATTTGTCATAAAAAAAAAACGATTTATCATGTTGCTTCTTACTTACACTCACGCTCTTGTAAAACATGCGGAATTGAAAGGAATGAAGAAACTGTTTTCCAAAATTCGTTAACATAAGTAAATTTAATAAATGTATTATAATCGTAATTTATTTTATTACCAAAAGATGCAAACGGTTGTTGTTGCTGAGGATTACATAGCTGAGGCTGATAGTTTTGGTTCTGAGATGGTGTGGGTGGTGCTTGTGTTGCTGCAAAATATGCATGTTCACTTCCAAATTTTGAAAAAATTTCGGGTATGTAAATAAAAATAATTTAAACACATGAGATAACCAAAGCGAATGAATCCCATTTTATTAGTAATGGTTGCCCTTATCAGAATCTCTTATCCCTATGAATAGAAAATAATTCCCATCACCTTGGAATGCACGACAAAATATACAAAAATTGATAATTTGGGTCGGAAATTATACATTATCCTATAGTAGACTGCTATTGCTATCTTAAAAAATCGAGACAAAAATAAAGATTAAAGAGAAATATAGACTAGCAGTGACTAGTAGTGAAATCAATCGACATTAAAATTAAATAAATAAGTCAACAGGATTTAGAATTAATATGACTATATGAGTCATATTAATTCCATCTTAGTATGCGGTATTGCGAAGGAAAGGTTAAAGAAGCTTCAGGTTATTGAGAAAAGCAAGGATTTTAAAATAAAGAACTCAATATTATACATAAGATTTTAAAGCAAGAATGAAAATGGCTGAATATTAGAAAAAAGAAAAGGTTGGAATGATACCTTGAAGGTTGTTAACATTACGTGGAGGTGGAATTGGCGCTTCTACATCGAATGGATTATTTGACAGGGATGCATTTGATGAAGGTTTTGGTGGTGGCGGTCGAGGGGGTGCACTGCTGTTTGAAGAACCTGAATTATCATCCAAATAAATAGTTATGGTAAACTAAATAAAAAACTTATCATCGTTACAATTCTTTGATTTCATCAAGTGACTATTTCTTACAGTGCTTAATGTAACATTTTCATCTCATTATATTTCATTCACACTAACCGGAAACAATATTTTGTTGCAACTGCTTCATTAGATCTTCCTTTTCAGTCTGCCGAGCAAAACAAAAATCGGATACTTTTTGTTGTAATCGCAATAGTAAAGGAGTTAAATCGTTATAAAACTGAAAGTAGAATTAATATATGTTTGCGGAATAAAACAGTGGAATAGGTGCAATCAAATGTTAATTATACCTTACCTTTGTTCCTTCATCCAAATTCGACTTAATTTCTAAAAATTTATCATGTCCATTGGCCAATATTTTCAAAATCCGCTCACGCTCAACAGCACGTTGGCTGGATGCTTTTTCCGAACCAAATTTGTTATTCCATAACTATAAAAAAATTCAATCCTACAAAAAAGCCACTTAATTTAAATAAAGGGAACAAGTACAAATAAAAACAGTTAAGACACGAAAAGCCCGTTCCAAAACAAGCTAATAACAAAAAATTATTAATAATACCAGTGATTACTTACTTGTACTTGTGCCAAACAATCCTCTTGCTTCTTAATAGTTTCATTTACTTTGGCTTTTAATGGACCATATATTTCTGCAATTTTGGCAGTAGAAATTTCTTCCTCATTGATAACTTGGTTGTCGGCTAGCGCTTTCAGGAAAATAGAGCTTATATCACAACGAACATTTGTGAATTCCTTTTCTAACTTCTCTCGTTCAATCTACAAATTTATTTCAAACGAAAAGAAAGAATTAAAAGCATAAGATAAATATTAATTCCAGTAATGGGCACCATTGAATAAAGAACTCAACTATCTTTCAGGAGTTCTGCTTCTGTTTTTAATTTATCCTGCTGTGACACTATTATATCGATAATAAATATCGATTTAATAGTATCACAGCACTTGTCGATATAATAGTATCACAGTAAAAGCAACCAGAGAACTGAACAAAGAGCAAGTCAAGACAGCAAAAAATTTGCTGGAAGAAACAAGAAAGAGAGTTGCAAAACCAAGTATTACACAGGGTCAAAAAACAGTGGCTTTTCATGCTCGGATCTCACCTTGATTTCTTGTACAACATCCATTAAACTTCTCAGTTTGATCACAGCTTCCGAATTCTTGTTAGCATTTGAAGAATCAAGAGACGGTATTGCTGCTGTAAAATTCTACTCTATATTTCGGGGTGTTACTTTATTATAGTGACAACTTACATTGTTTAAATCCTATATATATCTATAAAAGCTACGAATAGATATCTATAAAACTAGCAATAGATTAGATATTTCTTTGCCTAAAACGCTCTTTAGTTTCAGAAATAAAAAAAAAAAACATAAAGAAGCACTTATTTTAATTCAGGTTCAGTTGCACTAAGTAACCTGATCCCTTCTCTATTCTCTTCCAGTTTCCGCTTGACCGTTTCGTCTGCATTGAAAGCTGCACGAAGAATGCCACGATATTTACCGCATTCCTGGTGAAGTGGAGCTGTAAGCTGGTCAGAAGCCATACGTGTCCACTTATCTTTGAACTGTGATCGCAAACGATGATCATTTTCCTTTTCTTCATTTAGCAATCGTAAAGTCTAGAAATTTTTTTTCGACTTATCAACATCGAAGGAACAGTTAAAAAGATAAAAGTGAATAAAAGATAAGAGATAATATGTTGCAGTTTTAAGAGATAATATGCCGATCATTTGCAATCAAGAAAAAAACAGTGCACACCGAAGAAATAGAGTAATTAGAAATAAATATTATGGAATTCCTATATAAATTTGAAAATTCACTTCAGTCAAGATTTCCTCGTTTCTTTTATGAATATTTGGCAAGTCAGCGATAAGATTTGTAAGGGCATCAATTCCACCCTGAGATTTAACTTTAGAGGATTTTTGTCGGATTGACTCTGGCAATATTTCCTGATTCGCCACGTCATCCAAGGCTGCGGGCAAATTTAGTGATGCCAATATCCTATAATAAATCAAATAACAACTCATGGCTAATCACAGATCGAATACAGATGCTAAGAATTAAATTGTTACTATCAATCTTCATAAAATCATATACAGCCTTTTTATTCTTCTTCTGTTCTGCATTTCCAAAAGTAGAGGCTGAAGTGAAAATTTCGAAATTAATTTACCCATTCATTATTTGAGTATGTTCACGTAGACGCCCAGTTTCCACATTGATAACTTCTGACTTTCGAGCATCAAAAGACGCAGTAGCTTGATGTACTTGAACCGGCACAAGGCTTGAAAACATGTCTGCAATAACAATAATTTTGGACAAGTGATAAAAAATTAGAAGGAAGAATTAATACAATTCAAAAAAAAAAAACCGCGAAACTTAACAATTGCCATGTATTTGTAACATTCTAACCAAGAAGAACTGGCTGCAATATCAAATTAAGTCACATTTTCTTTCGTAAAATAAAACGAAAATCATAGATAGAAATTATACCTTTAAATCGCGGTGTCATTGGAAAAGTAACCGGTACGATTTTAGCAACCGCAGCCTTAGGCAAAGGTGGCAAACTTCGGAAATCAGCGATTTTCTCATGATACTAAAAATAAAACAGCTAAATGAGGAAGTTTCTTTTTTGCTAAGACGTTCTTTCAATTAAGATGAGAAATATTCTAAAAATACAGTTGCTATTACC